TATAAATTCATAAATGCTGCTGGAGAGTCTCTGTGTGTGTGTGTATGTGTGTGTGTGTGTGTGTGGGCGGGCAGAGGAGCTGGTCCTCTTTATTTAGACGGTGCTGAGGGAGGACAGTGGACAGGAGTGTGTCTCCTGACAGTTGACCCTCCTCAGTCCTGGACCACAGACTCACACAGTCTTTCATCTTCTCACAGGGTCTTGTCGGGAACTTCCTTCGAGGAGAGATTCGCAGAACTTCCAGAGTTCAACCCCGAGGAGGTTCTCCCGTCGCCCACCCTGCAGAGTCTGGCCACCTCGCCCAGAGCCATCCTGGGAAGTTACCGGAAGAAGAGACGTAACTCCTCCAGTGAGATTCCCTCCTCTCCTCTCCTCTCCTCGTCTGTTCTGTTGTGGGGGAGATGTTTCCATCCTCCCCCCTCATCCTCCCCCCTTATCCTCCCCTCTCTCCCTGTGCCCAGACCTGGAGCTGACAGCAGAGGACCCCAGCTCCCCGAGGAGGAAAACTCGACGTTTGTCCAGCTGCAGCTCGGAGCCCAACACGCCCAAGAGCGCCGCCAAGTGTGAGGGAGACATCTTCACCTTCGACAGAGCAGGTAAACAGGCGTAGTGATACGGCGTCTGTGCTCCGCCCTGTGGTCAGACACTGTAGTTCATGCTGGTGTCCTTCTCCTAACCCAGGCACAGAGGGAGAAGATCTCCTCGGAGACCTGGACCGAGTCCCTTACTCCTCCCTGCGGAGAACTCTGGACCAGCGCAGAGCTCTGGTCATGCAGCTGTTCCAGGAACACGGCTTCTTTCCATCAGGTAACAGACGGAGTCGGTGTCACCAGTCTGAAGGTTCAGGTTTATCTCCTGACGTAGACTGATGTAGACTACAGAAGTCTCTGCTCAGTATCAGCAAACGTTTGTCATTAGAGAAGACACTGCCCTCTTGTGGCAATAGATGATATGAGGTACAGTCGTCCCTCGCTGTATTGTGGTTTGGCTGTCACGCCCTCACTGCATCGCGAGTTTTTGCGATATGTAAAATTTTTCATTTATTTTTGTGATAAAATAAGTCTTTTCTAGCCTAAGAAGAAAAAAGATATTTAAATAAATAGTAAAAAAAAAAATTAGAACTCGTTTTGTACTATATACGTACAGGTTATTGCAAGAAATAACCTGTACGTACGTATAAACCAGATTTGTGAAAGTTTTGTTACGTTTTTACGATGCCTCCTGAAGGGTTCGTAAAGGGTTAATATATATATGTAAATAATATAATAACTATCTCGTCTCTACTTCAAGATTCTTCACCTATTGCAAGCGCATACTGCCACCTACTGGACCACAGTATGTAGTGTCATGGTATGACGAGTGATTTTTTGAGATGCGCAATTCATTTTTTATTTTAACCAATGAGAATTGTCACGTTTGTATCGATTTTTAACTGATTATCGACGCATCGTTCAAAAGTTCAGTTTTATCAACGAGGTAGAAATGAGTTAAAAATAGAAACAAACTGTTACTAATGTTTTTCTTCGACGTCTCCTCTCCTCTGTGCCTCTGCAGCTCAGGCCACTGCTGCCTTCCAGGCTCGATACTCCGACACGTTTCCCACCAAAATGTGTCTGCAGCTGAAGATCAGAGAGGTGCGTCAGAAGATCATGCAGACGGCCACGCCCGGAGCCCTCGAACCCGGAGGTTCCACCGACGGGATGAGCGCCACCTCCTCCCACCCGGGCTCCTCGTTCGGTCACCCTGCCCGGGAGGAGGGAGGGGTGGAGCAGCAGGGAGACAGGAGCCGCAGTCCGGAGGAGTCGAAAAACGATGGGTTGTAAAAACCAGAGAGAAGACGACGACGAAGAAGAAGAGGAGGAGAAAAAAAAAAGACGGATGGGAGGAAAAATCTCAGAGAGAGAGAGAAGAGAGAGAGAGAGGAGTGTGTGCGTGGTTCCTGCAGGATGTTCTGTTTAGTGTAGAACCAGCTCTAGAGTCAGTCCCAGCTCTGATCACAGCACATCTGTACAGTAGTTTGTAGTAGTTTGACTCACAAACTCTGTGGTACACACCATCTGTCTCTCTGACACACACACACACACACACACACTTTTACCAAATCAGACTGTTACTCTTGGTGGATAAACCCCGCCCCCCCACCCCCTGTGGAGGATCCTCCTCCAGGAACCACGACACACACACACACACACACAAAGGCACTTTGTCTCTAGTTTCAGATGCAGTTCAGCTCTTTTCCAGCCAGCCCTCAGATGCCATTCACTTGACCTCAAATTTTCTGCCTCGTCCACTCCCCTCAGCACCGTGGACGGGTCCGGAAAGTCGACCCCGACGACCTCCCAACTGGTATTTCCACAGCCCCTCGATGGACCAAGACAGACAGCACACACACACACACACATACACACACACACGAGCGCGCTTACACCTGTGCAGGGTCACGCTAACACACACACCCACACACACACACACACACACAGTCCACACCGGTCTGACCAAGCCATCGGCCTGCACACTTTATACTGATTGTAGTGAGAAGAGAAACTGAAAAAAAAAAAAGAAATCAGCGTGAAATCCCTTCGCTACCATCGTCGAAAAGACGACAAGAAGACGACGGCCGCGGCAGGAGGATGTCATGTGACCAATCTTTGCACCTTCACTTATTGCCATTTTAAACAGACTCCAGTCCTGGGCGGTGGAAGCTGATTGGTCGTTGTCTGTAAAAAATCCGCTCGGAAATGGAGACCATTCAGTCCCCGCCCCCCAAATAGAGAACCCTGTGTGAACGGGCAGCGCAAAGAGATTATTTCAAAAGACTGTTGGTTTCCGAAGAATCCAGGTTCAGTCCAGCGACGCTGGTCAGGCTCCAGACTCCAGAGCACAGAGAAGGAACTGGGAGGAGATGAAGAAGAAACGGGAGATTCCAAAAAAATGTTTCGGAAAAAAATTTCACCCAAACTGTTTTGTTCCGATTCGCCCAAGCGGGAAAATCTGACGCCGCTTTCTCTCGTTCATCGTCGCAGTGGAAATAAGCCGTTTTTTTTTTTGTTTTTTTTAAACCGTGGCCTGTTTTTATTTTCTTCTCTCGTGGCTCTTATTGTGTTTCTTCTCCAGCGTAAGAAAAAAAAAATCAACAACTCTGGACAAACCCCCCCACCGCCCCCCTCCCTCACTTTAATCGTACCTGTGTGTGTGAGAGAGTCGGCAGGGGTCAGGAACATTTGTCGTTTTGTAAAAAAAAAAAAAGAAAAAGAAAAAGAAAAAAAGGAAAAAAAAAAAGTTGAAATCAGGTGTTTGCACAATTTGTGCGGCCCCCCCCACAACGTTTGTTCTGGGGGAACCGCCGTAAGTTAAATCAGGAAAGTATTGTTTTTAGAGATTGTTTTAGTAGAAAAAAAAAATAATATCTTTGTTCTGTGTGTTATAACAAAAATGTTTTCCCTTCCCCCTCCCCCCTTTTTGTCCCCTCTGCTTCTCCCCCCATTTTTCCTACCGCGTGTTGTTAGAAAGTGCCCTTAAGCACTGGTCCCGGGTCAGGCGTTATGTAGCTCAGGATGGTTCTGGTTAGGGTTCAGTTCAGGGAAAGCAGATCCTAGACCAGCCCTGGAGGGCATTCTCTCTCTGAAGCCCTCCCTCCCTCCCCCCTCTCTCTTCTCGACACTTTATCCTTTCCCATCAAATGGTGCAATAGGACATTTTATTTTTATTCTTTTGGAGATGGGTGGGGTTTTTTTTTTCTTCTTCAGTTTTTTAGAGGAGGGTCTGGGTGGGTGGGGTTAAGGCTCTGTGCCATAGATCTTAAAAAAAAAAAATCCAGTCAGTCAGTCAGTCAGAGGAATGGACTCTTGTCATACTATTAAATAAAACAAACAAAAAAAAAATCTTGATTAAAAAAACAACACAGTAATGGCTATTGTTGAAGAGTTAGAGAAAATAACTTACTAAAAGTCAGAGACAACTTTTGAATAGCACTTTTTTGACTCTTTGCTTTCCGGGTGAAGAGTGAGGGCAGTCGTGATTATTATTGTTATGATCATTTAAAATGATGGGTGTCTCTTTTACTTCTCTGTACACAGTCGGATGTGTGACAAAATATATATAAATATACATATATAAATGCCGGTATTTCTATATATATATATATGTATGTGTGCATTTAGGTCTGTGTTTGGGTGTGTGTGTATGTTTTGGCACATGCAGGTAGTTTGTTTTTAAAAACAGAAACACACACACGACCCACCTTGTTTTCTTTTCTTTTCAAACGCAGCAGCGACATTAACAATAGTATATTTTTCACTCTATATTTTACCGTAGAGACAGTATTTTTGTAGTCTATAGACTAGTTTTAACGTCATTTCGACTGTTATCAAACCCACCAGATTCAGGACTATTTCTAGTATATATATATGTATACGTATATACACACATACACACATACACACACACACACAGGGCGTACAGTGCTGTACACAAAGGTCTTGGGCCAACATTAGTTGTTTTTTTTTAACATTCATTTCTGTGTATTCTCAGGAGCGCAGATCTCAGAGAGTGGATGTCTCAAAGGAGGAAAACTCCTTGTTAGATTTTTTTTGGCCAACTACTAATTAACCTACTTAGTACTGTAGTAATATCTGTTTATAAAACAGTCTATTTCCTAATACCTTTCACTTTTTCTTACACTTTTTTTACTGGACGTGTTCTGGTAAAATCTTTTTTGTTTTTGTTTTAAATAGTTGCTTGTTCATTAGGAATTAAAAGAGAGAAGTAATGTTCTCTAGTTTGTTGAGTTAAACAGTAGTTTTGCACCAAAACAAGATGTCTAAAGCTGGCCTTAGGTTTTACAGTACAGTACTATATATATATATATATATATTCTTTATATTCAGGATATATAACAAGTTTGTTATATAGGTCATGTAAATGCAGGTAATGTAAGACTATCAGTCCACATTTCTGTGTTCAGGGCTTTGAAGTGCCCTCTATCTGCATGCATGTGCAATCACATGCACCCGTGCACACACCCACACAGACATACCTGCATATACACACACACACACACATATGTATGTATGTATGTATGTATGCCTGTACACTGTATGATTGTGCTTAAGAATAAACTGTCCTTACATTGGAGAAGGAAACTATAGAATGAGCGCAGTGAGTGTTATCTGAGAAGCAGGCATGTTGACCATGTGCAATATTTCTAAACAACATCAACAACAACAAAAAAAAGACTAAATATTGAAGATATTAAAGATCTAACACAATGTCTGATGTCGATTGGCTCACGAGTTGTTCCTGGTGTCTTGATTTTGTTTGTTTATTATTACATTGTTGTGTTATTTATTTCTTTTGAATATAAAAGTTGTTGGGGTTTTTTGTATGTAAGCTAATGCTAAAACTATAATAATATGCTTTAGCTTTGGCCAAACCGCTGCTGTCACCTGCTAGATTCACAGCAAAAATGTTCAGTGTTGCTTAAAAATTGATTTTTCTTTAAAATAATTTTTTCATGGTGCCAAAACAGACTTCAAAAAAATTGTCAAATTTAACCAGCTTCAGGAACAACTTTTATTTGACTTACAACCAGTTATTATTATATAATATTTTGACTGGTGTGCAACTATTTTTCTCCATGTTCAAGTTATCATGTGGTGTAATGTATTTATGTACATTTTTGTTTTGGTTCTCGTTAGCTACCGGTCTTATAGCGTTCATTTAAAGCGCAAAACGGTCTTCCCGCCCACCATAAGGTGGTGTAATTTAGACAATGTTACTGTATACTTTAAACTGTAGTTGTTTTTAATTGTAAATGGCAGTTGAGCAAATCTGTGCTTTAACCATATTGAACTACATTTCCCAGATGTCTTCGCGAACGCTCCGTTTCTAGGTGTCTAGCAACAGTTCTCTGCTCCAGACAGCCGGCGGCAACCGGAGCGGTGTATTACTGTGCTTCTCGTCATTAGTCGCTCAATTTTAAATATCAAAAAATAATAGTCGCTGGGTTGACAAAGTAAAAAAAACACAACCCTGAGCCCTGCACAGAGATATGAGCGGCAGCGGGCGGCCCAGGACCAGCTCGTTTGCTGAGCCGCCAGGTGTTCCAGGTGCCGGAGCCGCCGCTGCCACTGCGCCCGTCGGATCAGCCGCTGCCGTGGGGAGCAGCACAGGAAAGTCCGGGGTCCCGCAGGCCTCCGGCACAAGCTCTTCGGGATGTTCGAACCTAAAGCTAGCCAGTAAGCTTTTACCACATTTCATTGCACGCAGTCATTCTGGTTATTTATAGAATGAGCCCGCTTTGCTTTAAGCAGGCGTGGTTAATTTATGTATTCATCTAAAAATAATAATAAATAAAACCCTGAAGTGAACCTGTTTGTTATCCGCGCTGAAGCTTAGCTAACGAGCTAACTGGCTCGCCTGCTAATGTCGGCCACTTGTTTTGATCGCGAGCAGTTAACCGTGGAATGGAAAGAGCTTTTTATCTCATATTCTTATATATACTGTCTTTCATGTTTTGATATCCCGAGACCTAAGTTACAATCCTAATCAATTTCGCCTAAAAAAAAGAAAATTACAATCTAATTCCAGTGTGGACTCTCATATGATATGGTTGTTGTTGACGGACGTCCTGTTGTCATGAAATACATAAACTTAAGTATTAACTCCGATGCAGTGTTTTTTGGTATAATTGTTCGGAATCAGGCTTGTGTGTTGACCTGTCTGTACAGTTGTCCTGAAGAGGGTTCATGCTGGGAAAGTTGCCTTGTCACCAAGGTCACCTGTGGGGCAGAGGCTCAGCAGCAGGTGTCCGACAATTGGAGGATGTAAATAATGTTCTTTATGTTGACATGGCCGAGAGATGTGTACAAAAAAATAAGTGTTGACTAAAGTCTTTCATCACACACAGCTGTCACCCTTAGGTTCTCGCAGCAGTAAGTCTCAGCTGTGGTCCTCTGTAGACCTACTGTAGACCTACTGTAGGCATGTACTGGCAATATGAACTAGACAACTGTTTGCAAAACAAGTATTAAAAAGCCGTGTGACCGTCAAAGATAATGTTTTTTTTTTTTGCAAAACAAGTATTAAAAAGCCGTGTGATCGTCAAAGATAATGTTTTTTTTAAATCACAGCCATGTTAATATTTTCTAAGATTCAGAGATTTAAGACCTTAATGTTTTTAATTCATGTCCCATGAGTTTTTTGTTTAAGGACCAAACTCTTATATTATCAGGAAAGTCACAGTGAACAATATGTACCCAGTAGAATTACTGCGACTTTTGGGTCCAAATAGTCCATTCTCTGGAGGATGAGCTCTTTTAGGCCCAGGTTTTAGACCTTTAGCCTTTTGTTTGCTCAGAGCATCAGCCCAAGTTTGGTAAACATAACTACTTTGATCGTGACACCAACGCCACTTATGTGGATCTGTGGTTGAAAACACACCAAACAGGATGTGAAAATGGCAACAACAAATACACTTGAAGCAGCCGTGATGATAACGGTTCATTCTGTTCCATAAAATTGTTCCCTGTTGTTAGTAAAATTCTGTGGAAAAAAGTAAACTTCACTGCATGTTGGTTTTTCAGTTTCCTTAATGTACAGTAGGTGGCAGTGGCTCTCGGTGATGCAGGTTATCACTGCCACAGCTCCAGAACGGGGCAGGCTTGTACCTCAAATATATGTAGTATAGTATTTAGTATTGTATTGGCAAGAATCAGGCGATACGATACGTATGACGGTATATTGGAATTGTTTTAAAAATTGTATGTGTATCCTGGTAAAAAAAAATATATATATATATATATATTGAGTCACATGACTACTTACAGATATAGTCCAGTCTGCAACACTGTTTCTTTTTAGATGGTCCATTAGCGGACGGCGCCGTGTGACTTTAATTCTGAGTGTGAGTGATGGGTCATGAGCAGTTCAGAGCAGAGAGACCCATGTGTTCGTGGACTACCTCAGCAGCAGCAGCAGCAGCAGCAGCAGTGAGACAGCTACACCCACAGGCAGAGGGGCCTTCAGGCTCGGATGTCGCCTTTGACTGTCACTGATCCTCATTTGGATGATGGATGGAGACTCTCTCAGGTTTGGGAGAAGCACGGGCTATTTCAGGAGGCTGCGTTGACCTATTTAGACTGGGATATGGTGGAGAAAAAGGTGCAATGTGACTTTAGTGTTTGTGAGTCTGAGCAGAGGAAGAGAAAGAGTAAGAAGGTCGGTCAGAGTCAGAAGTGTGAGCTGCGTGGACTCAGGTGTTTGGAGTTTGTCCTGAGCATGAACTGAACTGAAAGTGGAAGTAGTTTTGCTTATTATACAGAGTGTATTTTTAGCTTAAATATTTAGCGATAACATCATCACACACACGGTTTTGGTTTCATCACCAAATCTTATCTCTCTTCAGAGTTGAGCTGTGTGCCCTTTGATCAGGTTTTTATTGAACAAATCAGAGCAAACACTTTCCTTTTTTCCATTTCTTACCAAACTTGAATTGAAACCTGTTCAAACTGAAGCCCAACAGAACATTTAAAGGAAGTGTATTTCTGCCCTTAGACCAGACAAAGAAGCAGGTTGAGACCTGATGTCAAAGGTCATCCTCCAGAATTCACTGATGGAAATTTTTTTTTTTTAACCATGAAACTTTTCCCTGCCTTTTTTTTTTTAGGAGACAGTGGGAAAGTTACGACGGTCGTGGCCACTCCGGGTCAGGGACCAGACCGTCCACAGGAAGTCTCCTACACTGATATCAAGGTGAGCAGAACAGAAGAATCTGAAGTCAAGGTGTGAAGAACTTCTGTATTTACCTCGAGTCAGGGGCAGATATACTGTAGGTGTGGATCCACCAGCACAGCTCGGCCTTATTTATCACCAGGCAGATTTTATGGCCTCCTTTCTGTGTGACTATATTACCTGATAAAAAGTTTCCTCCACCTTTAAACCCTAACCCCCCCACCTTTCCCCCCACTACAGGTCATTGGTAATGGGTCGTTTGGTGTCGTTTACCAAGCTCGACTCACAGACACCCAGGAGATGGTGGCCATCAAGAAGGTTCTGCAGGACAAGAGGTTCAAGGTAAAGGTGTACAGTAGACCTAGACCAAGGCCATGTATGGGTGAAATAGATATGAAAATGATTTGATTTAATTTAAGAATAAAGATTGTGGATACATTCTGAGTTGATGTCTTTGTTCAGTATTTGTTTTTTTCCCCCTGTCTGTAGAACAGAGAACTGCAGATTATGAGGAAGTTGGACCACAGCAACATCGTCAGGCTACGATACTTCTTCTACTCCAGTGGAGAGAAGGTAGGTCGGACTTTTAGCCTCTTAAAAATACACACGTCAATCTGACTGTTGAACCAAATATACAGTATTACATATTGTTATTGTTCCGTATTTGCTCTGATGTCAGTTTTACTGTAAGCAGGTCAAAAAGGGGAAATGTATATGAGAGATAAAATGACTCATATCCAGGGCAGCTGAGTGTGTACATTATTCATACAGGCTGTAAATAGATATACTGTACTGTCAGCCCAAAAAAATCAATTTCTTGGTGTGATAAAAATAGAAACTTTTACTCTGCAGAAGTGAAGTTACAGGAAACAGTTACAGTTTTTCATTCATGTGGGTTTGTGTTTGTGAGGCTGTCGGATGATGTGTGTGTTTTTGTCTCCCTCTTCTGTTCAACACGGTCCAGAAAGATGAAGTGTACCTCAACCTGGTGCTGGACTATGTCCCAGAGACGGTCTACAGGGTGGCCAGGCATTTTAACAAGGCCAAGAGCATCATTCCCATTATTTATGTCAAGGTGAGTTCACACTGACGACAGGTTCACTGTGGGGTTTTTTTTTTGGTTCTGTTTTAAATTATTTATCTGTGTGTAAATGGCACGTTGTTTAGAAAATGGACTTTGTCAGGGTTTTGGCCTCATCATTTCTGTCTCTGGATTATCTTTTTAATCTGGAGATTAAAACTGATATCTGAAAATAGCTGTTCTCAACTTCACACCTGTTTTTGTTTTGGTTTAAACTCAGTAACTGTACGGTGATAGAGTCATAGACCCACGGGCTTTTTTCACTTTTCTACAGATGACATTTGTATTCTGCCCCCTGCAGGTGTACATGTACCAGTTGTTTCGCAGTCTGGCTTATATCCATTCCCAGGGTGTTTGTCACAGAGACATCAAACCCCAAAACCTTCTTGTTGACCCAGAGACTGCCGTCCTCAAACTGTGTGACTTTGGCAGGTGAGTTGTTGGGATTCAGAGCCATGACAGAATTAAAAAAATTAAATATCAAACCAAAAGGCTGGACTTGAATATTTGTGGTTCTTCCAGCGCCAAGCAGCTGATCCGTGGTGAACCCAATGTGTCGTATATCTGCTCCCGGTATTACCGGGCCCCGGAGTTAATCTTTGGTGCCACGGACTACACGGCGAACATCGACATCTGGTCAGCAGGCTGTGTTCTGGCCGAGCTGCTGCTCGGACAACCCATTTTTCCTGGAGACAGTGGGGTGGACCAGCTGGTGGAGATCATCAAGGTGTGTGTGTGTGTTACTGCAGCAGCAGCCTTGTGTGATCTGTGTGTGATCACCACACTCTTACTGTTGTCTCTCATCAGGTGCTGGGAACACCAACCAGGGAACAGATCAGAGAAATGAATCCAAACTACACAGAGTTCAAGTTCCCTCAGATCAAAGCTCACCCCTGGACCAAGGTGAGTCCACAACAGACACGACACCAGAGCTAACATTAGCTACACCAGTCCTGCTACAGACCCCAGAGCTAACGTTGGCTACAACAGTCCGGGTACAGACCCCAGAGCTAACGTTGGCTACAACAGTCCGGGTACAGACCCCAGAGCTAACGTTGGCTACAACAGTCCGGGTACAGACCCCAGAGCTAACGTTGGCTACAACAGTCCGGGTACAGACCCCAGAGCTAACGTTGACTACAACGGGCCTGGTACAGACACCCGAGCTAACGTTAGCTATAACAGTCCTGGTACAGAGACCAGAGCTAACGTTGACTACAACGGGCCTGGTACAGACACCCGAGCTCACGTTAGCTACAACAGTACTGGTACAGACACCAGAGCTTACGTTAGGTACAACAGTCCTGGTCCAGACACCAGAGCTACCGTTCGCTACAACAGCCCCGCTACAGCCACCAGCGCTAACGTTAGCAACAACATCCCTGCTACAGACCCCAGAGCTAACGTTGACTACAACGGGCCTGGTACAGACACCCGAGCTCACGTTAGCTACAACAGACCTGGTACAGACACCCGAGCTCACGTTAGCTACAACAGTCCTGGTCCCGACACCAGAGCTAACATTAGCTACAACAGTCCGGGTACAGCCACCAGAGCGAACGTTAGCTACAACAGTCCGGGTACAGACACCAGAACTCACGTTAGCTATAACAGTCCTGGTACAGAGACCAGAGCTAACGTTTGCTACAACAGTCCTGCTACACACACCAGAGCTAACGTTGGCTACAACAGTCCGGGTACAGACCCCAGAGCTAACGTTGGCTACAACAGTCCTGCTACACACACCAGAGCTAACGCTAGCTACAACAGTCCGGGTACAGCCACCAGAGCTACCGTTCGCTACAACAGCCCCGCTACAGCCACCAGCGCTAACGTTAGCAACAACATCCCTGCTACAGACCCCAGAGCTAATGTTAGCTACAACAGTACTGGTACAGACACCAAACGTAACGTTAGGTACAACAGTCCTGGTCCAGACACCAGAGCTAACAGTAGCTACAACAGTCCGGGTACAGACACCAGAGATAACGTTAGCTACAACCGTCCTGCTACAGACCCCAGAGCTAACGTTGGCTACAACAGTCCTGGTCCAGACACCAGAGCTACCGTTAGCTACAACAGTCCTGGTACTGATTGTATTAATCCGTTGATGTATAAGTGAAGCGTTGGGTTAATCCCATCTTTTGTTTTTGAACTCAATCTGAAAGGACTTTTCTTCTCTCAGGTGTTCAAACCTCGCACCCCTCCAGAGGCCATAGCTCTGTGCTCTCGGCTGCTGGAGTACACGCCGGCCTCTCGTTTCTCTCCCCTAGAGGCCTGTGCACATGCCTTCTTCGATGAGCTGCGTCAGCCCAACACACGACTGCCCAGTGGCCGAGAACTGCCCATGCTTTTTAACTTCAGCACCACAGGTAGGCAGAGTGCTTTTTTTTAAATATACAAATTATTTACAAACATTGAGTCAGTTTATTTATTAAAATTCAATGTCTAATAAAGCAGTCACTTTAACCCAGTTAACCTGATTAATCACTGAGTAATTAGCGCTGAGTCTAAGCTACAGTATTGATCAGGTATGATGCCATTGATCCTTAATGAAACATTTTAACAATATTTTTTTTTCTCTGCATTATTTAAAACAGGGTTTTCACACTGAACTCTATATGATTAATTATTGATGTTAAGATGCATTATGGGGGATGTAGTTGTTGATGTAGTTAATCAAAATAGTTGATTAGTAGAAAATACTTTACAGCCTGTGGGCCTTAACTGTGATTAAAACCAGTTGTCAGTTTGAAACACACACACGCACACAGAGTCTCAGACTCCTCATTAAAATGTTTTTTTTTTTTAAATCTTTTTTTTCTTTTCTTTTCTTTTCTTTTCTTCTCCATCCTCCACAGAGCTGTCAATCCAACCCCAGCTGAACTCCACCCTCATTCCTCCTCACGCTCGCTCTCACACAGCTGCTTCCGCCCACGGTAGAAAACACTAATTATTATTTTATTCCCTTAACCCTTTTATTTATGGGAACAGAAAAATCAATCACATCAATCAAGAGCAGTGCACAAAGAGGCAGAGTACAGCCAAGACAAAAGTGTGACTATGAAGTTTGAGATGCAAAGTAGAAGCTCACGTCACTGAATGTCCATCGCTGTAGGATACAGTCGTGTTGTCTTAACAGAATAACATTTGGATTTTTTTTTTTCATGTTGAATTTGGTTTCCATCATTATCTGTTGTGGATTTTAAAACTGTCTTCTATTTTTCCTCCACCAGATGTCACCGGTTCAGATTCATCTCAACACAGTTCAGTGCCGGGATCTTTGAACAGCATCTGAAGCAAAGTCTCACCTGTCTCTCTCTCTCTCTCTCTCTCTCTCTGTCTGTCTGTTGGCTTCCCCTTTGCCTCCCTGTCTCACCCAAACACACACACACACACACACACACACACACATGTGTGTACAGCTTTCCTCTGTGCTGCTTGCTCTCCTTTCTTTTAGGCCAGTTTTTTACAGTAAATACACTGAAGTCAACTCTTAGTTTCTTTGGCTGCAGAGTTGAAACTACAGCAGGAGATTGTTACACACACACACACACACACACACACACACACACCCTCATTCAGCTGCTCAGGTGGTTTGTGTAGAAGGTTCAATAGTGGGGGCTGGTCCTCTGTTATCAGACCTTTCTTTTTAAAAAAACAAAACAAAACATTTTAATTGTTTCTCTTCCTTTTCTTTATATTTGTCTTATTTATTTTAAAGTACATTTTATTCCTAGAGACTTCCTCACGTACATGTGTTTTTTGTTCTTTCCCATTTTTATGTATCCACATGTGTTGTTTTTTTTTTTTTGTTTGTTTGTTTTTTGTTTTTTTTTTTTTAAAGTTGTTAATAGTGAGGACTAACCACTGCCTGACCCCTGAGAACAGCATTCACCTGGACAGGAGGTCACCGGGTGGAAACAAAGGTTTTTATTTCAGCAGAACAGAGACAGTGATTCACAAACTCTTACAAAAAAAAAGAAAAAAAATCCATAAATCTGCAGCCACTTTATTCAGAAGATGTTGATGAATGTATGAAAACACCAGCCTGGTGTCGAGGTGTAGACAGCGCCCACAGCTGGTGTGGAGAGGAAACGTTCAGCAGTGTTTGGTTGGAGGTCAACCCTTGTATTCGATGTTCTGTGGCTGCATTATTATTATTATTATTATTATTATTATTATTATTATTATTGTTGTTATTTTTAAGCTAAATGTTCCGACCCTTGTTCTGTTCCTACAGTTCCATCTCCTTTTCCTTGAAACAGTGATTTTATTTATAATTCCATTCACAAATCAGGAGGGAAGTAGTTTTGAACCGTTGCAAGAAAAATGTCCAGAACTTTTCTTGATGTATTTAGAGCCGTCAGTGTCAGTGGTGAATTCTGAATAAAAACTGACTCAAGTGTTGGTGTCGACCAAGCACAGCTGGTTTTTTTCTCCTTCGATCAAATCAGTGTGTTGTTGTTCAGTGAGGTGTTTTTAGATGATTCTGCAATAAACACACACACACACACACACACATAGACTGCCTGTCATTTTAAATAGGACCGGAGTTTCACAAAGATCCTCTCCCATCACGTCACTGAAGAAAAGAAATGTGTGTGAATTTTACCTGCTCAAAGTCACAGAAACAGTAAACGTTGATGACTGTGACTCCTTCAGAGGAAGCAGCTGTTTGTCTCTAACTCTTCTTCTACTGTGTTCTTAGATGCAGGTCAATGATCTGCTGTGGTGTCTGAAGAATGAGGAGCTGAAACTTTTACATTTGACCAAAGTCCCAGTGCTGTTTTCTACTTTGCTTTCCTTCCCATGTGCTCTTCATTTCTATGTTTCTAAATTGTTCTTTTTACTGTCTTTTTTTCCCACTTCCTGTCTCTTTACATCATTGCCAAACCTATTTTAAGGAAATAATATAGGTAAAAGTTTTTAACATCTGCTTTGAGTGTTTGTACTTTAGCTGTCTACGTGTCCTCTATAAATGTACCACAGTGTAAGAACCTTTAGTGTTCTGTTTGTTTAAACTCCTGTTTCTAGTATAAAAAACGTTGTTCATGTACAAATGTTGTAATAAGTTTGGTTTTGACGCCGTTTTTAGGATCTAAAAAAAAAAAAACAACCAACAGAACAAGTTGTTAGACTGGTCAGTAAATTGTTAACCACTCCTGAAAAAATGTTCTTTGTTTTTGGAATTTAACTGAAGAAATCCAGAAACTCATTCCTGACAACATTAAACTGCAGACATGGCGTCTTTTAATATTTAAACATCTGCAGACAAAGCTGTGTCTACAGTATTTATTTTGTTTTGTTTTTTTTAACTTAAACATAACTTTCGGCCGGCGCATGGCAAGTAGTAACGTTAACTCCACAGAAAACTCCGATCATTGATTTACGTGTTGTACACGTCACATCCGGTTCAGCGGGGGGCGGTGCTTTGGAGGTCTTATAACGGGCTCCCAAGATGCACTGCGGCCACTGCGAGCGAGGAGTGGGGCAAACTTCCAGGTAACAAAAATTCACTACCCGTATAGTTTAAAATTAATTATTTAAATAATTTATTTCATAACAGCATAATTAATCGTAAAAAGGTTTATTTTTTACTGTAAAAAAGTTCTTTTTCACTATTTCAGTTAATTCTCGTCTTTCTTTTCGGCAGAATTCCCTTTTTGCCACTGGACCACAGGGAACCAATGTTGTACACTTTGATGGTCAGTTTTTGTCTTCAGCATCACTTGTTTTACTCTTATCTTTCTCCTCAGGCCTATTTGTCTGTTTTTAATTTTTGCATCACACTTAGTTAGCAAAACGTGTTCACTGTATATTTGTGTAATATTTCCTTTAGACAGATTCACTTGACCCGGAGCTTCACAAAGACCTGGTGACCAGACTGGATCCAGAGAAGAGACTCATCAGATTGACTGCAGTAGATCTGCAGCTCACCTTTACAGCAGATTCTTCTCCATCATCATCTCCATCATCTTCATCATCTTCATGGTCCTGGCTGTCGTTGGTTTCTTGGTGTACAGAAGAGTGAAGAAAGGTGAGATCAAGACAGAAAGAGATGTTTTATTTTTATCCTCCACTTATTCCAAACTCAAACCTTCTCCACCTTGTGAGTAAAACTTGTCTCTGTCACTGAAGGGTTCACTCTGAATTCTATATTATATGTACACACCAGTTAAAATGACCAACATATGTTACGTATACAGTTTTGTATTTCCTGCTGTGGCTACACAAAATTAATAAATTGTCAGATTTTGACCAAACCTCTGAACTTTTTGTGTCACTTTTTTATGAGTAAACTTTAATGACTGACCATCTGTTAATAATAACAAAAAGGTATAATTTGTTTCTTTAAAAAAACAAAAACAAAATTATCCCTTTTTTAGAATTTCAGAATTTGACCAAATAACATATGATGGCCATAAAATGTATTCTTCTTTTTCTTTGGGCTTTTTTCCTGGGGTTGCCACAGTGAATCATTGTTTTCTATCTCTCCCTGTTCTCTGCATTTCCTACTCTGACTCCAACTATCTGCATGTCCTCCCTCACTGCATCCATGTCTCCTCTTTGACCTTCCTCTCTTTCTCCTACCTGGTAGCTCCATCTCTAACATTCTTCTACCAATGTATCCACTGTCCCTCCTCTG